TACAAAACACATCGCCCTTTCTGCGTACAAATAGTACTAATTAAAATACAACAGTGGAATATCTAAAAGAATCCAAGATAGCTTCTCTATCGATTGTGTACTATTTGTATCAGTTCTGTTCTCGGCATATAATGTTAACTCCAGAAAAACAAGTTGACGCCAAGGAGAGTAATTTTCGCAAAGTTGTGAGACTAGTCGATCCCGCAACATGTACAGATGGTGATAGATGGTTTGGTATTCCAATTTTCATCGTGTTATTTTTTGTGTTTCTTTAATATAGGCGGTGGCGACGCATCCCTTATAAATACCGTATACTGGATAAGTTTTGCGGTCGGACGATTTGTTGGTATATTTACCGGATGGTTCATGCCAATTCGTATCTTAATTCCGGTTGAAGTGTCTGGAACTTTAGTTACAGGAATTATGTTAGAAATTTTTGCGCATGAAAACGATTTAGCGTTATGGATTTTAACTATAATGATAGGATCATGTGTTGGGCCAATATTTCCTTCTGGCTTAGGTTGGGCTAATGCATATTTTGAGGTCACTGGAGTAGCAATAACGTTTATTGTTATGGGTATGGCTTTTGGTGCCATGTCATACCTTTCGGTTATTGGATATCTCTATCAGCATCATGGTTATGACATGTTTTTTTCATCAAATGACATTTTATGGGGCAATTGTTCTTTTCTTTACAATTTTAATGACAATTTTTGTGAAAATGCACAGCGGGAAATTTGAAAAGAAAGAAAAAGAAATACAAATCGAACATGAAAAGTCAGAAACGAAAGTATAAGTGACAACAATTGTTACAAATTTGATACCAGACTTCAAAGGTGATACATCTTATGAACTCAATTGATACTATAATACTATCAATTCTGATATAATAGAAGACACTAGACTGTAATACATTCATATCTTTTATCCAAAGAATAGAAGAATTATACAGATAAAGTTATGCAGTATGTTTATTAAAGCTTCAATGCATATATAAGCCAGATAATTAATTTCTTATTCATATGCATGCAATATACATGTACAGAAAAACTTGCTGTTTTCATGTACCCCCCCCCCCCCCCCTTCCCCCAAAAAAAGTAATATCCCAAAACTGGCCACAAAAACAAACAAACTGACCACATATGACAACCACTTATGGGGTTTATGGTCAAGCCAGGTCACACGATTATCTCGCGTTTTTACAATAAAACTGATTTTACTGTGTCTTTTACCCTCTCCTTTTAATTTCAATAAGTTGACTAACAAAGAGGCAGATAAGGAACATGCAATAAAAAACAGTGCAGGAAAACAATTACTCCTAACCGTTACATGGTGTACATTAACACAAGTACCCACACAACAATTATAAAGATAGTTCCCATCTACTGAAAGCAAGCTAAAAAATGTACCTGCTGACATAAAACATGTGCCTACGATTGTAGAGTAAAGACCCTGCATACTAATAAATATCCGTGAAAAAAAATCTTGTGTGATATATATATTCCAAATGTATAGGGGGAAAATTTTTTCCCCTGCTTCACAGATCCGCGGCCGCCTAAAATTAATGACTAGCAGAAAGACACCATAAATACACAATGTTTAGATCTGGAACCGTTATAAAGTATCGCTATTTCGTGTGTATTCCTGACGTGTCTGAGTCCTGCTGCTGCCTGCCCTTGTTTCTCTTTTCAGCTGACACTCGTTATATTAACTGAGCACATATGCAACACATATCAATCAAAGGTTGAATAATGAGGCTGCGTTATTGACTTGCAAGCAAATGATACATCAGCAATGTTTTTGAGCCCATTTTGACTAAATTGAACAAAACTTAATGAAAAATTATATATTCTGCTTTTATAAAGGTTAGAAACAAAAATCATATGGTTTTGTTGTTGTCTAAAGCATAATTTTCGCAAGATTGAATTTGTGAGCATTTTTAAAGCCGTACTTTTTTTTCAAATCATTGCCAATTATGATTATGTGCTGCTTGATATACTCATTTGGCTTTATGAAAAAGGTATAATTAAAATAATACAAAAAATATTAATTATTTATCAATCAATTTACAATTGGTCGAACAATGAAAAACAGATATACTGGGCATATATATAAGTAAGAAGCTAATATAATTCTATTAAAGCCTACAATCATAATTCACAATCAATTATAAGTTTAAGCTTGGATGATGTTTTGGCCCTCAGAAATGACGACTTTAGTATGCGCACTAGATGTATCCTGTTGAAGTTATTAAATAAAGCTAATACTAACAATGAACACTGTCATTTTCTTGATCTTGATATCTATATCTCTAAGGGAAGATGCATACTGTCAGTTACGATAAAAGAGGTGATTTTACCTTTCCTATTGTTAGTTATACATTTTTAGATGGCGACGTTCCCTTGGCACCATCATATGGTGTTTATATATCTCAACATGTTCGATTCGCTCGTGTATGTAACAACGTATTGATTTTAACGAAAGAGATCTCTCTATTACTGAAAATTACAACATGGGTTTTCGATATCACAAACTTGTCAAAACTTTTACTTAATTTTATCATCGATACAAGGACATCATTCGTAAACTAAATCTTCATGATGGCATTTTACTAAACCCCTAACGGGAGGGACTGTGTTTGATTTTCATATGGCGAAGATATAACCTTTCAATCAATTTAATTCAAGTATGTAGCTGGCATGTCAGTAACTGCTAGTAGTCCTTTGTTAATTTGTGTTTATCATTGTCATTTTGCTTAGTTTCTTCTGTTACCTATTATAACCTCGTGCTTGTTTTTTCCATATTGACTAGAGGTATAGGGGTGTGCGTAGATCTCAAAAACATATCTAACCCCGTCGTCTTTTACGCTTGTCCCAAGTTAGGAGCCTCTAGCCTTTGCTAGTCTTGTAAACATTGTATGTTTTTGACACATACCCCGTTTCCATTCTCTATTCTATTATTTTATCAAGAACATCGCTTATTATAAAATATTTTAAACAATTGAATATCCTTTAAGCATCATATTAAACGTAAGTAATATGATTAATACTCATTTTAAGTTCTTTTAAAGCGTTATGTGTTCATACCAGCCAACAAAGCAGCCAACAAAGGGGTAGTGGTAAGACATATACACTACATGCTTTTTTTTTTAGAATAAATTGTTATCTCGTCTACATTTAAGGCCGTGTGCTTCACAGAGTCTCAAATAGTTAACAATAATTTCACTCGCATCTTAGCTACTAGTAACGTTTTTCGGTGCTTTAATTAGTTCCTTACAACAATTCAAAAACTTTTTATTGACTTTTGTATTAAAGTGTATACAATAATAGAATAAATTATGTTTGGATTGTCAAACACTCTTTGGATGTTTTGAATAAACTACGTGTTATTGGTTGTCTGTTCTATTTGATTGGCAGTTATTAATTTTGGGCTCTGTACACTACACTTCAACACAATCTAATCATACATGTGTTCTTAAATTAAATGGTCCTTTTAAATTTTGTTCTATTGCAAATTTTTTTTCTACCACTCGTTCACAACTAATATAAACGATAAACATGCTAGATATACTTACTGGACGACGAGTAAGATAATAAAGTTGTAAATTTGTCTTTGACAACATCTATGTACGGTTCGGCAATAAAGTTTTCTGACATGTTTAATGTATTCATAAGTGCACAAGTTACTACCCATTTAATAGCAGAGACGTGTTACTGTAATCCAACGAATCTCTGTTTATAGCCAAATTCGATAAAGATTTGTCTAAATTCCATTAAATTGACCCTGACTTTTATGTTGGCTTTGTATTATGTCATTCTTTTCTCAGACTCTTTTCTTTACGCTAAATCCGTCTGATGTTTTTACTGATTGATAATTTTGGAGAACATTTGTTATTTGTAATTGGCTCTGTTCATGTACCAAGCCACTGTTTTTCTAGTTAGATTTATATCACCTTTTTTTTGACGGATCCTTTTAAAGCTGACTATACACTATAAGTTTTGCTCATTGTTGAAGGTCGTATGGTGCTTTCGTGCGATTTGGATTCTGTTGAAAAGTTGTGTCATTAAAAAAAGATTTACTTTTACATATGATAATTATAAAAAAAGGAGATGTGGTATGATTGCCAATGAAACAATTATCCACCAGTGTTTAATTGACAATGTAAAACAATAAAAGGTTAACATACAGCTTTTAACAATGAAAAACAATACCTTATTGTCAGCTTCAAAGGGCTCCAACATAAAAAAAAATGTGACTAAATTCAAACGAGAAAACTATAGGCCTAATTTATAACAAAAAATAGCGTTTTCAGTTTTCATAAAAATACAAAAAAATGAATTTTGTCAATTATCAGATATATTTTGGATCCGCAAAGATAAATCACATGCAAGTATACCAACTAAAAAAAAAATACGCTAATGTTTGCCTATATGAACATCTCTTATGGAAATAATCATGTGTGTGATAACTGTATGTGCTCAGTATTTCCTAACCAATGTGTATATGGTATATATGTTAGCTGTCAGCTGTTACATATGGAAACATATTTTACGATTGACTACTTGTCAAATATTTAGCTGCTCTAAAAAGTCTAACGAGGTGTCAAATATTTAAAGTGTATACTAAAAGTACCGAATACAAGGCAGATTTAGTTGGCACTATTAAATCAGTTAAAGAATATATATTTTTCATTTAAAATTGAAAACAAATACATATTATGTTCAATGCCATAGGTACATTTTTAAAGATATTGACGTCAGAAAAATGCCATCGTTCATCATTCTAGTTATGAAATGATTTTGTATCCGATTTACTAAAATCTACTACAGTGGAATAGTAATTACATACCATTGTAAAATCAAAACTGCTAACATAAGCGAAATTGATCTGTATCACATTACTCTTTTAACGTCATTGTAACCGAAAACTTGTTTATGTATACCTAATTTATTACTGAGGTATGTTATTTCTTATACCCACTTCCTTGTATATTGTGTAGATGAGTAATAAAAGTTGTGTAAAAGACTGCTGCGCCATCTTTAAAAGTTGCTGTCATTTTACAGTATTCGTAACTTACTGTTACACAACAGTTAAGATGGACAAAGACGAAATATACTAACAGAATTTAAGAAGAAAGTAGCTGCATATTGACGACATTCTATTGTTCAAAATTTTTTTAATATTGATAAAAGAAGAAGTGTAAGTGTATTGATTTGTTTAAATTTAATTTGAACATTTTATTTTCACAGAGTATCTGGCAGGTCAATATTACGCGTTTTTAAGGGACTTTTGCTAATGTAAAAAATATGATTTAATGAAATAAAGGGATTTTTCTATTTGATATATATATATATATCTTTTATTTACAGACACAGACCACTTATGGGATATCTTGGCAATGCAGTTGCTATCTTGCTTTACATTGGGCTTGTAGCTGGCAGAAAATGCGAGTTTGAAAACAGATGTCAGTGTTTCTTCAATACTGGGAAACAAGATTATAAAGCAGATTGTTCAAATGCACATCTAACACACATTCCAGATTTTCCCAAAAGTATCAAAGTGATTATATTGGATAACAATTTGATATCAACTATACCAGACAATCATTTTAGAAACAATAGTAAACTGTGTAAGATTAGTTTATTGAATAATAAACTGACAGTTTTGAGGAAAGACACATTTTATGGAGCCTTTAACCTCATAAATTTGACACTTTACAACAACGAAATAAAAGATGTAGATAAGAATGTTTTTATGTCCATACCTGCTCTGAAATATTTAAACATTAAGAGGAATCACATTGATTGGATGAAACTTAATATAACTTTTCCATATTCCTTGCAAACATTGCGAATGGACTTTAAGATACTAGAACAAAACCATATTTTTGACAGTTTTAAAGGACTCATTAATCTGGAAAACTTGGACATTTCTGGATTGTCTGGTGAATGCGAATGTAAAACAATGACTCCGGAAACCTTTCGAACTATTCCAAATTTAATATATCTTGATATGTCCGCTTGTAAAATATCTTATGTTTATAGAGGAACATTAAAATTTATGTCAAACCTGACATTTTTAGACGCCTCTTTCAACTTTTGTCTTAAATTTGCAGGGGCAGAGAATATTACCTATGATCTTCAAACAACTTCTATTAAGATTCTGAAATTAAACAAAATTCATAAAATTTTTGAGCCCGATACAATTGTTTTGAAATCACATATACGTAATTTAAGACATACAAATCTGACTGAGTTGCACGCTGATAGCAACAGAATTCAGCTTTTCGAGAAGGGTGCCTTACGATCTCTTCCACCTACGTTAAGAAATATATATGTTTCGGACAACATGTTCGGTATTGGGAGTTATTTTTATGATTTTGTCGCAGTAAACATAACTTTCATAAATATCTCACTCCAGTTCAGCAGTCATAATTTTCAGGATTTACATGATGAAATATGTGTAAAAAAGGACCAAACAGATCCTTTACCAGTAATATATCAGACATCAAATCAACATGAAGTACAACGTCAAGGACAATGGAAATCCAATACAATTCCGTTTAGAATTCCTTTCACATTACAAAATCTTATTTTCAGAAACAATTTATTTCGATTTAAAATAGAGGCGAATAAAGTGTACGAGAATTCATTAGCATATCTTGATTGTGGATTTAATATCATGTATTCCTGGATTGGACCTCTGCTTACTTACAAGAAACTAGTTCACCTTGATCTTTCGAACAATTTTTGTTCCAACGTGTCAAAGGATTTTTTTAGGAGTTCCCCGAGTTTAAAATCGTTACTTATACAGAACAATTTACTGGGATTTGTTCTCATCGAAGACATGCATGGTGAAATTCTGCAGCATATTCCTAAGCTGGAAGTATTGAATTTAGCAGACAATCGAATACCGTATTTACCATACAACTTTTTCAAATTTCAATCAATGCTCAAAGAAATCAACATTGGTGGTAATTTACTGGAGGATTTGAGTTTTCAAATAAGTCATATGCAAAATCTTTCGCATTTAGATCTCTCAAAGAATAGATTTTCAAGTCTAAATTCTACGGCACGTGGTCAACTTGAAACGATTATAAAGTCAAATCCAAACTTGACATTGAATTTGATTGATAATCCTTTGATATGTTCGTGTGACACCATACAATTTATCAAATGGATGTTACAAACAAAAATAAAATTTACAAAGTTACAAAGTTACAAATGCAAATTGTACAACGGCAATACGGAATTATTGAAAGAACCAAAAAGAGTATATGAAATTCTAGAAAAGAAGTGTTCCTCTTACACAGCCTTACTTGTTGTATTGTCAATCTTCGTTATATTTTTCGTGTTGATCTTGCTATGCGGTTTAGTCTATAGACACAGGTGGAAATTACGATTAATGTATTATATGACAAAGAATAAATATCAGAATTCGTCAAGAAAAAAGTTCGAAGACAAGGAGTACGAATTCGATGCTTTTATCTCATATGAAGAGGAAGATGCAGCTTTTGTACATGATCATCTTCTTTCAAATTTAGAAGAAGATGCAAAACTGAAATTGTGTATCCACAAGAGAGACTTTCAACCAGGTAAGGATATTGCCGCAAACATTACTTATGGAATTCAAAATAGTCGATATGTGGTTGCAGTGATATCGAAGACCTATCTTGAATCATACTGGTGTCTGTTCGAATATAATATGGCACGTATGGAGAGCATATATTCAAGAGATTGTGAAAATATGTTTATCTTAGTTTCTCTTGTGGACTTGTCAGCACTAAATTTGCCTTTATGTGTTATTGAAAAAGTACATAATCAGTCGTACATTGAGTATCCTAATGATCCATTAGGTAACACTCTGTTCTGGGATAAATTAAAGGAAGTGCTGAAATGACAACATAAGTCAATGTTTGTTTTTGCTTTTACCAAAACCAATTTAGTTATAGTCCGTTTTTGTTATATAACTATCCATCCTAATACTATTATAATATATAATACTATATATTATACTATTACATGAGAAAAGATGAAAGTATCTAAAAAATGTGCGTCACTGTCACAGTTGTACTATAAATATATGTCAATCACTCAATTGTCGAGTGTTTGAGCTTTTGATTTTGCCATTTGACAAAGAACTTTCCGTTTTCAATTTTCCTTGGAGTTCGGTATTTTTGCATTTTTACTTTGTATGCCATTGTGGCTACAAATGAATTTATTACACAATGGTGGCTTGTGGAAGTGTTTGTTCCAAATCATTAACAACTTTAAGTAAGTTATTATATGTGACAGTATCTTAAATATGTACTGTCAAAAAATATAATATTCTATACAGTTTTGCAGGATTGTATCCTATTTTATCGATCACATTACAGTGGGATAGTCTTATGTGTTAAAGTTACAAAGGTTTGTCTGTACTAGGAGTACTTTTTTATATTCGTTATTCTTTCTTTTCATAACCACAAGATTACATTGGGCATTACAAATTTAAGCACGATTCTTCACACTTTCATAGAACTCTTTTTCATTCCTCCCACATCTGATAAATGTTAATTACGTTCAACACCATTACACACGCATAACATTGGTTGTGGAAGATTGGTTTAACAAGATGGGTAAATAGAGATAACTCTGTATTTTTTAATTGACACTTTTATCAAGTAATGGATAATTATGAATCGGTAATCAAATTTAATAAAAATTACACTTGATCCTGCAACATTGTGATGAAGTAAACTCTAAATTAATAATAAAGGACAACAATTCTAAAACAGAACATTGAAAAAAAAGTTTAAATGCTATTCTATTTTGTGATTTATAAGATAACTTTTATATACAAATATGAATCATACAATATACAATACCAAGCTTTAACAAAACATAAACAATTTTAGTTTAATTTAATTCAAATGAAATTTAAAATAACTATCAAATAAAATTATTACTTATTATTTAAAGTTTAATAACTGATATGATATCATCTCATTGATACAGCTTGGACTACTTACCCTTAGTGATTTTAAATTAATTGACCAAATTGGTACAATAATTAAGTTTAATTAAAGTGATATTTGTTCACTTATGACATATTGCTGAGTTCTAAGCTAAGAAGTGTATAAAATCAAATGTTTTCTGGAAACCAATCATTCACAAGTCAGTATGGAAAATGCACAGTCAGATATTCAGTTTGTTACCAATAGATAAGGCAACCAGAGTATAATCAACAATGAGTTCCAGTTCAGAGTCAAAACCAGACGAGATGATAGTGTATACTGGATATGTTATACACGTAATTGCCCAGCTACATTAAATACTCGCTACAACATACCTACCAAATTACCAAATAGACACAATCAGGACAACCACAAAGTTAAACTCAAAGTAGATGAGATACTTCAGACAATAATGAAACGGTGCCGAGAGGACACTGCACCAGTTCCAACTATATATGAACAAGAGGTCATTGAATTACGCAACCCAGAATGGAATGACGAAACACAAGAAGTAGTAAAAAATCTGCCAACTTTTGAATCCTGCAGACGTAGCTTTTACAACGAGAGATCAAAACTCATACCAGGACTACCAAAAACACGCAATGAGATCAACCTAGCAGAACCCTGGACAGTCACTACAGTTGGAGAACAGTTCCTAATTGCAGATGATGGTGAACAAGATAGAATTAAGATGTTTACTATACGTCAGAACCTAACCAACCTTACAGCAGCTGACATCATATATGGTGATGGAACATTTTATACATGTCCAGATGTATTTTTTCAAGTCTATACATTGCATGCTTTCGTCGACGGAGCCATCTACCTACTGGTTTATGCATTACTACCCGGTAGAAGTTAAGTCATCTACACACGGTTCTTGACACTACTTAAACAAGCATGCCAACGCTTTGATCTACAACTACAACCAATTACTATATTCTTGGATTATGAAGTTGCAGTACGTAACACAGCTTATCAAGTATTTCCTGGTATTACTGTTAAAGGTTGATTCTTTCACTATACCCAATGTATATGGCGACAGGTACAAGATACTGGTCTTCAGACCCCTTACAAGAACAACAATTACATCACCAGATTGGTTCGACGTGCAGCAGTTCTTCCACTTGTACCAATGCAGCATGTAGAAGATATTTGGTTGAATGCATTAGAAGAAATCGAAAAAGCCAACACAAACATCAAAACTTTAGAATTTACAGACTATGTTACCGAATACTAGGTTAAGACTAACCGCCACATTTGGAACCATTACGAAACAGTAGAACCAAGAACTAACAACCACTTAGAAGGATGGCATCATAAATTAAAGAATCATGTAGAGCACCCACACCCAAACATCTTCAACTTGGTAAAACTACTGAAGAAACAGGGAGCAGCTATTGTGGTTAGAATCATTCAATACTCAGCAGGTGGTAAACGTCGTCAACGTAAAAGAAAATACATCGACATTGACAACAGGCTAGCTGACATAAGACAGAGACTGCAAGATAACAACATGACACCAGTGGATACGCAGATGCAGCATCATATCTTCTACATATTAATTAGTGGGTCATTTGAGAAATCTTAGTGAACTTTATCGAATTCTGTATCTGTGTTAATATTGTTATATGTATTAGTGAACATTCAATAATGATATTTTACTTATGTAAGTATTTATGAAATATGTGTTTCAATAGTGCTACTGTCAATATGTCAATGTATTTGAAGGAATTTATTTAAATTATCATTAAATGTTTTGATCATTGTTGTATTGTATTCATGAGCTTGCCACTGGTGGATATTTGATATGAATAGATGGAAATCCCTTTAATAAAATTATAGAAATCCTTATATAATTATTTGCCATTGTTTTATTATATTTATTCCTAATGAAAAAGAGATCATCAACACATGCAATTACCTACAATTTCACTATCAAATGTAACGAAAATGGTTTTGAGTACACTTAAACGCTAAGTTTAAACTGGTTGTAAATTGATTAGACCCTTATCAATTTACGTTATGATAACACTGAATCTGTTAAAAATTATTCAACCTATGCCAACATTTATTCATACAATTTTATACCAATACAACCAACTTGTTCCTATTGGTGGTTCATTCAACCTATGACAACATTTTGAAATTTAGGTATAAAATTGTATGGAAAAATGTTGGCATAGGTTGAATAATATTTAACAGATTAAGTGTAATAAAACATATATTGATTAGGGTCTAATCAATTTACAACCAGTTTAAACCTAGCGTTTAAGTGTACTCAAAACCATTTTCGTTACATTTAATAGTGAAAATGAAGGGAATTGCATGTGTTGATGATCTCTTTTTCATCAGGAATAAATATAATAAAACAATGACAAATAAGGATTGGTCATTAGTCTGTGATGATAAATTGATTAAAGTTTTCACCATTGGCTATATTGAGGGCACTGCAGAAAAAAAATGCACCTAGTCCTCTAAGCTGACAAAGTCGTTCACATCTGGGTAATAGTTTTATTTTTCCTAAAGAATTATATTTCCTTTAACGTCTTCAAGTTTCTACCCTAAGGCCACACCAATTAGATTTTTAGTTCTTCGGACAAAAGCTCCAAAAAATATGGGGCGAGCGAGCGAAATTTTTTTGATTGTATTTATTTCTTGAAAATGAGTTTTGTTGAGGCGGGTGCTCTACAAGTGGAGCGAGCGGTATAATTTTTTTTTAAATTGTGCGATTTGTACATGTTAAAACTGGGTTACTTCAAAAAAAAAGGAGGATAAACATGCTCTTATGCATATAAGTTGATGTATTTGTGCCTGTAGTACAGTCTGTACCATACCCAACTTTTTGGTTCGCTTTGGTTTAGTATAATTTTGATTATTTTCGTCAAATAAGCTTTGACTGCGTGTATTTTCATTCAAATTCATACCTGTGTATATATTAAGGTAGCATATCAGATGCAGTTTAGCAAGAGGAATTATGTTAGTTAGGTAAATGAAATGTGTTGAATACAATTAAAATATGTGTATATATTCCAAAAAAATGCCCATGAAAAATATTAAATATCTTTTGATATAGTTGTTTTCATTATATGGTAATGATTGTTTATTGGCTGCTTGACATCCAGTTGGAACTACTTATCCATAATAGGATCAACATAATGAGTGAGGTGAATATTTCAACAGCATCCTGAGTAAGATAATTATATTGGTATGCATGCAGATCTCAATGTATTAAAACATTTAATCCCGCTGCAAATGTTTTCACCTGTCATAATTCAGGAATCTGATGTACAGTAGTTGTCGTCTGTTTATGTAGTTCATACGTGTTTCTCGTTTCTCGTTTTTATATAGATTAGACCGCTGGTTTTCCCGTTTGAATGGTTTTACACTAGTAATTTTTGGGGCCCTTTATAGCTTGCTGTTCTGTGTGAGCAAAGGCTCATTGTTGAAGGCCGTACCTTGACCTATATTGGTTTACTTTTATAAATTGTTACTTAGGTAGAGAGTTGTCTCATTGGCACTCATACCACATCTTCCTATATCTATTCCCTTAAAATACATTTAACCACATTCACATGCATTATTCTGACTTAGCAAAATACTTTTTCCTTTTGCCCCTGAAACCTGCAATGTATTTCAAACTGGAAGTGGTTGCACCAATAACACATCCCTTATTATTATTAGCATGCCAATCCCAATACCACCACTTTGGTCCCGAATGTTGGAACTCTTAAATTTTCCCTTACAAAAGAGTTCTGATTACATGTCAATAGACTAACAAGGGGATATGAAGTTTTCATTAAAATAAGATAAATCTGTTATTTTTCAAAAATTCATGTTAATTTAATATTAATTTCATCCAAGACAGATAGCTCTAGATATCTATGTCTGTTGTAGTCCAAGATTACTCTGACGTCCAACGGCTGTTTTGACAGACAAGCTGGGGCCGTGGGACAACAGCCCCCCATCTTGTCTGGCAAACAGCTGTTGGACGTCGGAGTAATCTCGGACTATGTCTGTTGAAACAATGATCGGGGATGACAATGATTCTAACAAGTACTGATGTGATCGTGGTCATCTAACGAAGATTTTTTATTTTTGTCTCCTAGAACAGGTAAAACGAAATGCATTTCAAATAACTGTGTGTTCCTCGGTAATGATCTGACACAACTTCATGTTGGCATCCCGATTTTTGACCTTTTATTTACAAATCGATTTATCACGCGTGCGTTTGAATCGCTCGGAGCAATATATGCACGAGAAAAACGTCTAAGAGAAAAAAAAAATGTCAAGGATTAACTAATTTTGGAGCGGCATGCGGCCCAAAAATTGGCGGAAGCGGTAATTTTTTTTTCATTGAAAAGTCAATTTCTCCAAAACAGGAGCGGGAAAATCCAAAGAACTATTAATCAAATTGGTGTGGCCTAAGGCAATGATTACTAATCTTAAATTTTGATAGCATTGCTAGACTATGTTTGTTTTTTTATATTTAGGAACTGTTTGTACTGAAAAGATGATGATGGTGATGGATGGCTGCTTAACCGCCAGCGTCAAATTGAAATGCATATTCATGCCGAGAACATGTTTATGTAATATGGATACTAACCCTGCTTTGTACTAGACCGACACGCTGAGGCGTATTTTTAACGTGCTAGTTCACAAGGTAACAGCCAATGCACATGAAGACATGTCACCTTACCCGGACACATTATTCTGATTCCGAGCCGACTAGTCTTTGCTCTTACTCCTTAATGCCGCGTGCTTAGCGGAGAAGCAGCAAATACCAATTTTAAAGTCTTTGGTTTGACCCGGCAGTGGTTTGAACCCAGGACCTCCCGCACTCGAGGCGAACACGCTACCACAAGACCATCGAGGTTGTCGAACTTTAAGAAGATTGAAATCTAAAGTTAGACTAAGCGGCTAGTGCGACATGATCATCAGGGGGCGAGTCTCTTTTTTTCCCCAGAATGCAAAAAATTATCTCTGAATTTTTTTTATAGACCACTATATCATGTATATGATGCATGTATGAATAATTGCCCAATGTTAAGGGATGCATACGATATAGTTTCGATCCCACGGTGAATTTTTGACGAAAATTTGCATACAAGCTATTTTTCACCTAAGCAATTCAAATATGTAATAAAAAAATATACCTTCATGTGCTACTTTAAGAGATAAATGGGGTCGAAATTTTATATAGATATTTACTCAAAATTTCGGTTTTTTTTACATTTCTATCCTTTGGATAGACATACCTAACTTTTTTGTTGCAAATGATAAACACAAACGGATTTTTGTAAAAACATTTGGAAAATCTGTTTAACATAAGTAGGCTCTAAATTTATATAACAATTCTTTGTAAATAATTAATTTTTAACAAAGTTTCAGGACTTTAGAACAAAAAAACGGCATTGGTGACTTTTTTAAAAAAAATTGGTACAAATAATCTTCATACGTAATCAAATCTAATGTAATTTTAAAAAAGAGGGTTCCATGAACCAGTTTTCAAGTCAAATCAGTCTAAATGATAAAAATCCGTCAAAAATGCATGTTTTCCCGATATGTCACAGTTTGATGTCGCAAAAAATAACATTTTACGTTAGCAACGTCATTACCTCCCCTGTAACTGTATCGTATGCCCTTAAAGGCCATACAGTGACCTGTAGTTGCTTTCATCTTTGTACCTTGGTCTTTGGTGTGTACAGTAGATATCTTATTGTCAATCATACCACATCTCCTTATATTTATTAATATGTATTGAAATATTATACAATTACTGTCTTTTGATGAGGTAAATGTGTGGTTTTATTGACTTTGGAAAAACTGACATTCACTGAGGCCAGCGGCCGAAGTGAATGTCACTAGGTTTTTCAAAAGTCAATTAAACCACATATTTACCGAAACAAAAGACAGTAATTGTTTTATTCCATGTTCCGAGCGAGAAAAATATGTATAAAATAACAGTTATTTACCAAAACCAACTAAACGTCAAACACTGTATCGTTATTATACACGTAAAAGCACGCGACGTTTTGCGCGGTGAATATACCTTTTCCGCAGGTGAATGTGCTTATTTATTCAAAATCCCATTCATATAGAAAAACCTACTAAAGTTCTATCAATATGGAATAATCATATTTATTGTTTTTCGAATTGGCTCAAGCCAAAAAACAAGAATTTAATTCGTACCAAGTAAAGACCTGGAAAAGTATAATAGAAAATGTATGACCTCTATTAACGATGAATAGATCTACATCTTTCGAACAAGTACGTTTTGCATAAACAATATACAAATTAAATACAAAATACATTTTGCCGACTAGCCCGTCAAGTATGCTGGACGCCAGAATTCTTATACAATATTCAACATACTAGTACTAGTATATAAGAAATGCTCACAACAACAGACATAATCAGAACCATACGAAAAGAACATACATACAGGTTTTTATAATTGATCTTGCATATTAAAATCACATATAATGCAGAAATGCAGCTTATGTGTTCCTCTACTAATTTTGAGTGTTTGCTTTTATCCAAAAGCAAAGTTGTGGAACATACTCTAACAGAATCATTTGGTAATCCATATAACATGTACAACAAGTGTCTTCTCCATGATAATCTTGAACATAAAAACCAAATATTGAATAACCGGCACTACACCTTTTTTAGTATTTGGTACTGGTCTGATATTCAGGGTGGCTGTCACTGTAGAACACAGTTTAACATAGAACGCTATGGAAAAAAATTCCGTAGAAATTTTT